AAATCTAATAATAATATATATATATATATAAAGTAATTTGTAAATAATAAAATAATATATATTTTTCTAATGTAAATATATAAAATAAAACAAAAATTAATAAAATATAAATATATAATTATTGAGTTGATGTTTATGAAAAAAGTTGATAGGTTCAAATTCCAAGAAAATCACCACCCCTTGCTAAGGGGTGCCATTAGCACTCCCCTAAAAATATAAGGGGAGTGTTAATAGCACCCCATTTCATGTCAGAATCAGGTCATTTCAAACATTGGGAATGTAAAAAGCATACATTGATGTTGATGTGTGTGAGGAAGAAATTCATAGTAGGGGTGCATTAAGCAATGCATAGGGGTGCATTTAGCCCACCCCAAATATAATTAAGATAATTTGGATATTTAAAAAACTAATCTAAACTATATTATTAGCATTTAAACAAAATTGTTAAAAAAATATTTTTTATACATCAAGTACCATTTATTAATTTATATTACTTAAAAAATTAAGATTACAAGTTAATTAATTATAAATACAATTTATTAAAATTTTATGTTTGAATTCGTGTAACTAAGGATCTGTATGGCTCATGTTGAGTAATGAAAATGAAAATGACAGAGAATGAATTTTCATTCCCCCAGTTTAACCAAGAATGAAATTTTGGGCTTCTGGAGAAATGAACATGTTATATTATAGAAAACCAAACATTTTCTTTTATTTTTATTTTCGTTGATTATTGTGTAATACCTCTAACCAGACACTCTCTATCTATAGATAAACATGATGAATATTAGATAAATAAAAAAATGGATTAAACTTTAAGATGAGAAAGAGAGTTAAGATGAGAAGCGTAAAAAAATATTTAAACAATTGATCAACGTTAATCTCAAACTCATCCATGAATCGTGTTTGATATGAGGATTGATCCGATGAATCTCATCTTAGTGCATCCTATCCGAATATGGAGATATCTTCTTATATTTCTCACTATAACTTTCATTCAAATCAAAACCCAACCCTTTATTTTAATCCCATAACACATTTCGTTGTGATTATTAGAACACCATATTTAAAATAACAAAATAAAATAATAAAGGTATATCAAATAAAATAAAAAATCAATTACTTCAGTTTGACTTAATTTTATACAATTTGATCAAGTAAGGGGCCGTTTACCAAACATTTATCCGGTAAACATTTACCCGAAAAATTCAATAATATTATTACTTACCGTGTAAGATTTTAGTCAACAAAAACGATTTTTTATCTAACAATTTACCCGGTAAAAGCTGACTGTGGTAAGAGTCATTGCTCTTACTTATTGGGTAAGACTCTCGTATTGCCCTCACTTATCGGGTAAGACTCTCGGTACTTGTCTCGTTCTTATCGGGTAAGATTTTTGGTCCTTATCATATTAATCTGGTAAAGTAATACAACTTAGTAAGCGCTTACCCAAGTAAGTATTTGATAAACTGTCCCTAATTGTTTGGATCCATATAAGATTTATAAGCCGGTTCATTGATAAACTACTTGGAGTAGTTTATGAGGAACTTTTTGACATTTTTTTTCCAATCATAACCTTGATTAATATTATTTATTCATTTATTATTTTTAATAATTATAAATAAATATTAATTATTGATAAATATTAACTATTAACTATAAATAAAATTAATTATTAATATAT